TCACCTTCATTGATTAGACAGCCCTTTGTGTTTAACATTCCTGGTTTCTCCAGTGATGTGAGTATAAGGACCTTGTGCCCTCTACCAGTGAGAGAGGTTAGGTAACATTCTCATTGGGTGGTTTGTTTTTTTTTTTTTTTCCAACATTGAAAACATGATATTCAGATTATTGAAGTAACTGACAAAAATTGACAGTAAATTTATACGTAATTGGACACTATTCTCTGTAATAATCTTAACCTCTATTTTTTTACTAAGAATTTTAGGTGCATTCATCTCATAAATAAGCTAGCTAGAATATCAAGATTTGTTTGACAGGGTCTCATAGCCTCACTGACAAGGAACTTACTGTGAGATCCAGGCTAGCCTCAAATGTGTAGCAAACCTCCTGTCCCCAAACATGTGCCTGATTGAATACCAGGGTTATGAGCTGGGTTTGGTGGTTCATGTTTGTAGCCAGCACTTTGAAAATAGAGGCAAGTGGAGGGGTTCAGGGTCATGCTCACCCACATAGTGAGCTCAAGGCTAGCTTATGTGACAGGAAACCCTGCCTCAAAACAAAGCCAAGAAAAGATACCAAGATTTGGGAATTTTCTGTTTGGCATCCTATATATTGGGTGTTAGGGGAGATGTGGGTAATAGCTCATCCCTCATCACCGTAGTCTAGGTTATTACTTTAATACTAAATAAAAAGTAGTTTTGCTGCTTAATGAGCCTTTTAAAAAGCTATTTAAAAAGACTTACTGGGCAGGCTCAGTGGTTGGGAGCACTGGCTGCTCTTTCAGGGGATCCAGGGCAGGGTTGATTCCCAGAACCTGAGTGACAGCTTATAACTGTCTGTGATCAAGCCTAAAGAATATTTGGCAACTCATATAGACATGAATAAAAATCTTCACTTTTCTTATAAGATCCAGAGGCATGTTAGTCTATGCTCTGTTTAACTTGAAGGCCTGAATGTCCAAATGCAGTTTTATGCCTGAGGTGCCCCTGCTCCCTTCCCAAGCAATGGTAACTAAATAGGTGCTTGCCTGATTCACAGGAGTACAGGTGATGGGTTTGATGATTTCTGAGTCTCAAAAGAAGACAAAGTAGAGTAGACTTGTCTACAAAGTAGATTTGTATTTAATTATTTCTCTTAGATGCTGAAAATGTGAGCATTGCCCGGGTTGAGATTGGTGGCGCACACCTTTACTCCAGCATTTAGGAGGCAGAGGCAGGTGAATATCTGAGTTCAAGGCCAGCCTGGTCTACCCAGTGAGTTTCAGGACAGTGAGGGCTACACAGAGAATCCCTGTCTTGAGAATCCCAAAACCAAAAGTTTTTGTTTTTTAATTTTTGATTTTTTTTTAAATCAGGGTTTCTCCCGGCTGTCCTGGAACTCCCTATGTAGACCAGGCTGGCCTCAAATTCAAAGATTTACCTGCTTCTGTCCCCAAAGTGCTGAGATTAAAGGCATGTGCTACCACTGCCCAGCCAAGTTTTAAATTTTTTAAAATTAATCAATTAATTTTTTCCCCCCAGCCCAATCAGTTTCCTCTCCTTCTCTTGTGAGAACCCAAAGGAAAGTTTATTGTGCTCAAGTCAGAATCTGTTTCATGATACTCTGGCTCCCTCTACTGACCTTAAGTGAAATTGCCTAGTGTTTATATTTTCTCACTTAACACAGGTTGGAATGAAATATGTATGTATCCCAAGTACATGAGTTTTTTCCACTCATAGCATCCCTCTTGCCTCAACCTCTCAAGTGCTGGAATTACAGACATAATGTGAATTGGTACTTTGCCCACATGTGTAGCTGTGTGAAGGTGTCAGAACTGGAGCTGGAATTAGACAGTTGTGAGCTGCCTTGTAGGTGCTGGGAATTGAACCCAGGTCCTCTGGAGGAGCAGCTAGTGCTCTTAATCACTAAGCCATCTGTCCAGCTCCTCCACCCCATTCTTTTCTTTTGTGATAGGTAAGTTTCTGCTAATGTTTGTTTACCAAGATTGACCTCTCTCTGGCCGCTGATTAGGTACCGTTTCCATAACAAAAGGAGAGAACCCTGATTTACACTTAGGGCCCTTCTTATATGAAAGGACATGTCTCCAATAGGCAGCTCAAGGAGTCAGTGCAAGGTTATTATGTCATTAAGTCTTTAACAGGAGAAGCATAATTCCAGCAAGTAGGCAAGATGGCCCTAGGTAATAACTATTTGAAAAGAACTCTGCTTGGTGCACTTAAGTAATTCTGGCAGTATGTTTGCTGTATAAGTCTCACATCTGCCTAAATGGCCAGATTTGGGGTCTACTGTCTTTGTTTAAATTCTTCAAAGTGTAACCTGAGGCAGGTTTAAGGATAATGGTGTGTGTGGAACTATAAGCCTTGGGCTTGTATATTATGGTACAGTTCTCTGCTCTGAATCTGTTTCTCATTGTGTATTATCCCAAACTATAGTTAATAGCTTGTCCATGTCCCAAACAGGTTTCTCCATCAACACAGTAAACCAGATCAAGGTTAATTGAAAAGTAAAAAAAAAAAAAAAAAAAAAAAAAAAAAAGACAGGTTTATTTGAGCAAAGCAACTCCCAGATGAGTTGTCCAGCCCCAGAGATTGGAGGCCGGAGAACTGATGCAGGGAGATTTTATAACCTGTAGGTGAGGGGTGATAATGTGCCCACCAACAGGGTTTGTGCCCAGGTACGGTCAAAAGCTGGAATGCTTGAGCAGGGATTTGGGCTGCTGGCAGCTTGAGGGGAGGAGCTGCCCTAGCAGCCAAGACTGTGGAATTGGGCTTTTTGGAGCCTTTTCTTTCTTGGAAATTCTCTGAGAGAGTGGGTTTGGAGGGGAAAGGGGGAGAGAGAGAGAGAGGAGAAAGGAGAGAGGAGAGACAGGAATGGAGCTTTTCAGATGAAACAGGCAGGAGTAAGCTGGAGGTTAGAGTCTAACAGTAGTCATGCACTAATGTTAAAAGTTCTTTCTTCCCTTTATTAATCTCTAAGTGTATGCAGTGATCTCATTAGCAAGGCATATTAATTCTGTCACAGCCTAGGATGACCTTAAACTCATGATTTTTCTGTCTTTCCAAGTGCTGGGGTTACAGACATGACATCTGGCAACCTTTGGTTTCTAAAACATCTGTTTTTATTTATTTACTTATTTTTTAGCACAGAAGATCATTCTCTAGATCAGCAAGAGGGAAAACAGATGGCCAGATCACATTTCACATTTTACTGTAGACATTGTTTAAAAAAAAAAAAGTGAGTATGATAGTATACACCTTTAATCCCAGCACTCATGAGGCAGAGACTGGCAGATCTTTGTGAGTTCCAGGCCAATCAAGGTTATTTAGTGAGACTCTTGTAAACAACAAAAGAAAAATAACATGAAAGTAGTATGCCTTAGGTAGAAATTATACTTCAGATTTTGAATTTTGATTGTTTTCTAGGCTGGCAATATGCAACACTAAACTCTCAAGATCCTAGGACATGTTAACCCCAGCTCCCTCCCAATCAGTCACACATAGTCTCAAAAGCAAACAGCCAGACTCCAGTGTGTACTGTATTGTTAACACTATAATGCTCAGGAATAGTTTCAGGTTGTGATGGGTATATTACTAGAACAATAAAGAGCATCTTCATAGCTTCATTTCCCCATGTTATACTGTTCTTAAACACAATTCTATATATCTGTACATGTTACAAACCAACAATATAGTGCTAGAATTATCTGTTTTATAATGTGGTTTTTTTTGGGGGGGAGGTTTGTTTGGTTGGTTTTTAGTTTTTGGAGACACGGTTTCTCTGTCTATCCCTGGTCACTCTGTAGACCAGGCTGGCCTTGAACTCACAGAGATCTGCCTGTTTCTGCCTCCCAAGTGCTGGGATTAAAGGTGTGCCTGACTTTTGTCTGTGGGTGCTGGGGATTTGTTGGATTTCCCTCCTTGGTATGTATGGTAAATGTTTCACCCAATGAGCTGTCTGCCCAGCTCCAGCTTTTGCTTACATGAAGTTGAAGAGTAAATCCTGTTACCTTAGCTGTGCAGGAGCAGGAATTCATGCCTTACATGGTGTCATGTGGTTAGTGCCCTGGAATAATCCTTTATACACTGTAAAATGTTGTCACACAAATTGGTTTTAATGAGCCGCTGATTGGCCAGTAACCTGGCAGGAAGCATAGGTGGGGTGGTCAAACTAAGGATGATGGGAAGGAGAAGGGTGGAGTGGGGTCGCCAGCCAGATGCGGAGGGAGCAGGAGATGGTCATCCCATGCTAATAAAGCTACTACCCATGGCAGAGTGTAACAAGCCTGAGATATCAGCCAAGCACTTGTAAGTAATATTGAGTCAGTTATTTGGGAAGCGGCAGCATAGTATTTGGGAGTAGGCGGGTGGGAGTGAATCTTCTGTTTACAAATTATCTCTTTGGTTCTTTTTTAAGAATATTCATTTTATTTCTCTCTCTCTGTGTGTGTGTGTGTGTGTGTGTGTGTGTGTGTGTGTGCGCGCGCGCGCGCATGCTTGAGGATGTTTATGAAGTTCGGAAGAGGATACCAGATCTCCTAGAGCTGGAGTTCTGGGTAGTTGTGAGTAGCCTGCTGCAGGTACTGGGATTAAAGGCATGTGCCACCAACACCAGGCTCTAACTACCTTTTTAAATGCAGATACAACAGAGACCATGAGAAATGGCTCAGAAGATGAAGCTTGTTCCATATAAACCTGGTGACCTGAGTTGCATCCCTAGGAAAAGTGCAGGGAAAGAACCTACTCCACAGCTGTCCTCTGACCACAAATGTGCTGTGGCACATACACACAATAATAATAACAAACTGAAAAAACAATAAAATAATATTCACTAAAGTGGAAAAGTTAGGTGAGAGGAGGTGGATTCTGTGGTTCTGAATAGTCCAAAGGGTACAATGAAGCCAGCCAGTTTAGGTAAGTAAGACCTCATCTGAGAATAATGGGGTACATTTAAGGAAGTAGGAATGGGACATTTATGGTGGGTTGTTTTGACTCTCACCTAGATACTATGCATTGCCTCATTCCTCTACACTGACAATTACATCTGGTATCTGTACTCAGAGCTGAGGAGGAGACACAGCCAGAGTGGACAGAGCACAGCGGCACAGGTAAGCTGAGAAGGGGCTCCCCAGAGTTCTCAGCAAGCAGTGCAAGCCCTCAACACTGACTGAGTATGTGGAAGCTGATGAAAATAATGTTCCCATAGTTTCCATTTGTGGACATCACTTCCTGTCCTCCCTTGACACACAAAAGATTTGTTTGTTTGATTGGTGTTTTGTTTTTCAAACAGGATTTCTCTATATAGCCCTGGCTGTGAATTCATTATATAGACCAGGCTAGCCTCAAACTCCAACTCATAAAAATCTTTTTGCCTCTGCCTTCCTGAGTGCTGGGATTAAAAGCATGCACCATCACATTCAATTTTGTCATTTTATTGTTGTTTATTTGTTTTTGAGAGAGGGTCCTGTGCAGCCCAGGCTGTCCCCAGATTCACTACGTAGTCAAGGATGACCTAGAACTTCTGATCTTCTTACCTCTATTTCCCAAGTGCTGGGATTCCAGGTATGGACCACTAAATCCAGTTAATGTGTTGCTGGGATTAGACCCAGGACCTTTAGAATACTAGGAAACACTCTACCAACTGTGCCACAAAACACAGGCCCATTTTAATCTTATACATCTTACTAAATATTCTAATCTTCTGCAGTATTCACTATTTTGTTTTTTTAAATAAATAGCTTTTTATTTACTCACTTTTTAAATGTTTATTTACTTTAGTATATGAGTGACCTGTCTTCATACACAGCAGAAGAGGGAATCAGATCCCATTACAGATGGCTGTGAGCCACCATGTGGTTACTGGGAATTGAACTCAGGACCTCTGAAACAAAAGCCAGTGCTCTTAACCTCTGAGCCATCTCTCCAGCCCATGTTTTCTTTTGTGTTTTTAACTAAACTTTTGTTAAGAGCACGATAAACACTCTGGAAAGCTGCTCTGCCCAGTCCCTAGAGCCTGCAGATTACTTCTCAAACAAAGGAGAGTGTCCAGGGAACATATGAAATAAACCAGTAAATATCTGTTATATGAGTAGATGGAAGAGTGTGTGGATTAAATGCATTAGTGATTAACTCAGGTTCATCAATAATACGTCAGTGTTGCATTAAGGATAGAAATAAAAGCATTTCCTTTTGGAGTCTTTAAGCAAGAGTGAGTCCAGATTTGAATTCTCTACTTCGTGATCTCTGTGTCCTCTGTCCCTGTGTCTGTCTGTTCCTCCCAGAGGGCTTTGCTCTGTCTTTATTAACCAGCACAGAGGCAGGGAGGTACTTTACAGGATCTTTAACAGAGTTTTATGAGGGATAAAATCACTACCTCCAACATTTTTTTAATTTTATTTTTTAAATTTCTTGTGCATTCATATGTTTTTGCCTGCATGTATGTTCCTATGAGGGTGTTGGATCCCCTGGAACTGGAGTTACAGACAGGTGTGAGCTGCCATGTGCGTGCTGGGAATTGAACCCAGGCCCTCTGGAAGAACTCCCAGTGCTCTTAACCACTGAGCCATCTCCCTAGCCCCATCTCCCTAGCCCCACAAATGTCATTCTTTATCAACTAATATCCAGGTGTTGAGTTCAACATTTATGGTGGATATTAATTTCAGATAGCTGCTTCCAACTTCTATATTTTTTGCTTTTAACAAATGATATATATGCATTGTCCTGGGCCACTTGTCTGACTTATAGCCTTGAGTACATTATCTCTCACATTTTGTTTATTTAAAAGTCTCTTACTATGTAACCAATGCTGGCCCACAACTCTCTATGTGGCCAAGAAAATTAGGCCTCAAGTTTTCATCTTAAAGTTAAGTATTAATCTATATAATCCATGGTGCTTCTTCCAGCTTCCAGCACCAAGATACTGTGCTCATGAAAACGTCAGTTTTTATTTTATTTTTTTCTTTTTCTCTAGCTTTATTGAAGATGTTCACTGTTAAGGAAGGGTAGGAACAGAGAATTTATGTTTCCTTTTTTCTGGTTCCTCCCTTCTCAGAGAACAGGGGAAAATTTAATGAAAATGTAACTAAGACAGGCATTTTGTTTGTTTGTTTGTTTGTTTTGTTTTTCAAGACAGGATTTCTCTGTGTAGCTTTGTAGACCAAGTTGGCCTCAGACTCACAGAGATCCTCCTGCTTCTGTCTCCGGAGTGCTGGGATTAAAGGTGTGTGCCACCACCACCCTAAAATTAATGAAAGTGTAACATGAAAAGTACCCATAAGCAGCATCATAGATAAGATACTATAGTGTATCCAAAGGCTATTCAGTGAAACTTCTTGGAGACAGATTTTTACTATGTAGACCAGGCTGGCCTTGAACTCACAGAGATCTGCTTGCCCCTGCAAGTGCTGGAATTAAAGGAGTATGCCACCACAACTGGCAGCACAATTGTTTTATATCAGTAGCTACTAGCCATAAGTGGCCACCGAACACTTGTAATGTGGCTGCCAAATGAAGGAACCGCATCAGGGAACTCAGCCTTTGAGGCAGTCTCTCCCACTCTGTAGCCCTGGCTGGGGCAGGATTAGAACTTGCTGTGTTGTTTATGCTGGCTTCTGACTTGCAGCAATCCTACTGCCTCTGCCTTTCAAATTCTGGGTGCAGAGGCATATGCCATCATGCCTGGCAGGAGTTGACATTTTCATTTTATTTAGTTTTAGTGTAAGTAGCTATGTGTGGGTAGTAGCTGCTGTGTACAACCAGAATGCCACTCTGCTGCCATTTTATCTTGCCCACTCTGGGCATTCCACAGGCATAGGTGTCCTCTGCACTTTAACCTTGCATGATCCCTCCAGGAAGGAAGGACCTATGGCTACTTAACCGTTTACATGCTTATCTGTATAAATGGAAAGACACTGCAAAGGGCTGCAACTTTCTTTTCTCTGGGCCGATGAGTGCCTCAAAGCACAGCAGTTTCCAGGGCTTTGTCCACAACGTCACTCAAAGCCCCGGGACTAAGCTTGGGTGGCCAAGTGTCAAAAGCAAACCCCATAGTCCATGAACTTTCCATTATAATAATACCAAATTCATAGTAGTCATGCTGCTATAAATTGTTCAGTCTCTGATGTAAGTAGGGTGGGTGTTCATCTGTCTATCTGGGAGTACTGTGAATTTGAACCCAACTCTTTTCTATAGTAAGAACATATTCCATCACCCTATGTAATGCAACATACTCTGTGTGGTGTATATGTAGTGTGTGTGCCTGTGTGTCAGTATGTAGATGTCAGTAGTCAACACCAGCTGCTTTCCTCTGTTGCTCTCTGCCTTTCTTGTTTTGTTTTCTGAGACAAGGTTTCTCTGTGTATCCCTGGCTGTCTTGGAACTCTCCCTGTAGACCAGGCTGGCCTCAAACTTTGCCTACCTCTGCCTCCCAAGTGCTGGGATTAAAGTCATGTGCCAACACCACCCAACACTCTCTACTTTTTTTTTTTTTTTTTTTTTGTTTTTGAGACATTGTTGGTCACTGAACCTGGATTTTGCCATTTTTACTAGTCTGATTGGCCCATGCATAAGCCCCAGGGTCGGTCTGTCTTCCCTTGCCTCCTCCACAGTGCTAGCTAGGGTAGCTGACAAGTGCTGCTATGCCTGATTTCTTGTGTGGGTGCTAGGAATCTGAACTTAGGTTCCTGTGATTGCTCAGAAACCACTTTATCTACTGAACAATCCCTAAGTCTCCAGATTTAAATGTTCCAGTCTCTAAAATGCAGTGGTCTTATAGCCAAAGACTCTCCTTTGACTCTATCTTATCAACATTGGCCTACTTATATTTTGTGCTGGCCAACTTAACATAGCTTCATTCATTCATACCTTTCTTATTACTCTATTATTTCATATATGCATTTATTCTTAAAAGAATTTGTTTCAGCACTTAAGCATTGGATTACTTCCTGTAGTCTTCTGGTTTAATTGTTACTATTACAATTGGGTTTTTTTGAATAGTAATATAGATAAAACTGTCCTCTCCAGTACCAAGGGAACTGACTGTTGGAATCTATAAACAATATGGCTGGCAAAGCAATGGAGCTGCTGGAAGTATGTGTGTGCATGCATGCATGTGCGTGTGTGTTTGTGTGTGTGTATTTGCTCGTGAGTTTGGCACTGGCCCTAACATTTTTCACGTCTATTCTTTTCATAGGTGATAGGTCATACTTGCCAAGGTGGTAACATAGTGTTCCTTTTGTCAAGGTAAGATTTTTTCCCTACTTAGTAAGGTAGCAAAGGGACAAATGGCCTGTTACTCTTCATTCCCACTGTCACTGCCATGTCTTTTCAGAGCATTTACTGATAGGAAGCAGCAAATACAAGCATTGATGACTTTCTTCCTTTCCCCAGTTTGGAGTTAGAGAGCTGGGCTTTAGCTATAGCTCTATAACACCAATTCTATGTGATTTTGAACAGATCCTTTTTTGCATTTGTATGTAAATGAGTTCAGGGGTCTATGTGTCAGGTGTATGCTTCTGTGCATGCATATGAAGGCCAGACTTGGTGTTGGTCCCTTTTCTTTGTCACTCTCTCACACATCAAGGCAGTTTCTCAGGGAACACAGAGCTCAGCACGCCTGCTAGTTGGACCAGCTACCTTACCTTGAGGGTTCACATTTCTGTCTGCAATGTGCTGCACAGCAAGCTGGCCTCCAGGGCTCTCAGCTTTTTCATCCATCCCAGTGTACCTCACTCCAATCCTCAGGCTTTTTTTTTTCTTTAAGATTTATTTATTTTACGTGCATTGGTGTTTTTCCTGCATATATGTCTGTGTGAGGATGCCATATTCTCTGGAACTGGAATTACAGACAGTTGTGAGCTGCCATGTGGGTCCTGGGAACTGAACTCAGGTCCTCTGGAAAAACAACCAGTGTTCTTGACTTCTGAGCCATCTCTCCAGCCCCACACCTTATTTTTTCAGATAGTATCTCTCATTGGACCTGGAGTTCACCAGTTAGTTGGCTAGCCAGTGAGCTCTGGGGATCCATCCATCCTGTCCCATTCCTGGCCCCAGGGTACAGATGCACCTCCATGCCCTGATTTTTCATGGGTGATGGGGATCAAACTCAGATTCTCATGTTTGCATAACAAATACTTTACAAGTGAGCCAACTCCATAGCCACCTTGCCATCCTTTAGACTTCTTTCTTCCTTTCTTTTTCTTTTCTTCCTCTCTCTTTCTTTCTTTCTCTCTCTCATTTTTGAGAACTCACAAAGATCCATCTGCCTGCCTTTGCCTCCCATGTGGTGGAATTAAAGGTGTGCTCCACCACTGCCTGGGACAGCAGGTTTTTATGACTATAATGTCAAAGATTCTCAAACTGTTAAGAGATTGACTTAGATACAAATCCACTTCATAATGCAGTTCTTCGGGAAATTGAAAATAAGGATAGCTATGTTATTTGAGATGTTTTTCTTCATATCTGTCAGTTGTGGGGGAGTTGGTGGAGTAATATAGTTGGAGAAAGGAGACTATTTTACAAAAGGGCATGAAAACTTCCAGATAATTGCATAATACATTTTTCTCTTCCCAGCCTGATACCTCTGCTATTGATGACACCTGTATTCTGCCTGGGCAATGTCAATGAATGTTTCCACAACTTTAGCCAGAGCCACAGGTAAGGAAGGACTAACTCTGGTTTTTATTTGTTCCTTTCTATAACAGAGTAAAAAGGGGGGGAAAATTCTATATACTTTCTAGCCAACTTAGTTTTGCTGTTTATGACCCCTGAGAAAAGACCATAGATCCAACCTAATTATAATTAAAATATGTACTGTTTAATTTATAGCAGGATGAGCAATCTCAGAACCAAATTTGAGATTGCCATGTAGGAGGGGTATGCAGAAGGATTATTAAAGAGAAAAACTACATAGAGACTTTAAGTATCTATGAAGCAAATGAAACTGTTCTGTTCTACCAAGTGAAGTGGTTAAAGCATCTCAAAACAGTCTTTGGGTGTCTATATAAGTAAGTTACAGAAGAAAAAAAAAGCCGTTAGGCATAGCCACAGCTGTACATTTTTAGATGAGTGTTACTGGGTCAGGGGTGCTGGTGGTGTAGGGTTCAAGAAGACCCAAAACAACCCAAACACACAAGAGCTCATGCAAAGTAAGTTCCAGCAATCCAGACTCGGGAGCTGACTGTGTCCCTGAATATTCATTTCAGAGAGTTTAATTTAAGCAGAAAAACCACAGATGTCTGTGCCAAGTTACATTTACATTTCCCCTCCAACCAGCATGCAAAGAGTAGGGCCTATTCTAGGGACCTTGTTCTGTGGTACACTTGTTTTGTGGTATACTTCTCTTGTTCTCACTGGTTGGTCCACGCAAGGGTGACAGGGCAGCTTGCCCACCATTCAAGTCTCACCTTGTCAACAAGGATGCCAGTGGTGTCAGTTACCAGGGAGGTGTAAGGAGGTCTTGGGAACTTAAACTTTATTTCACTCTGCTTTTCAAGATGGAACTTCTATTCAAAATGGCTTCAGTTTTGTTCCTTCTTATACTGGGAACTTACCTTCCAGGGATTGGAGTCAACAACAACTGGTGGGTACAAAAATGGATGCCTAGCATAAAATGGATCTTCTTTAGCCATACAGTTTGTTTTACTTGTGGATGTAGCTCAGGCATTCGAATGTTTTCTGTGCTTACACAGTCTTGGGTTGGATCCCGAGCACTGCAGACAGTATGTGTGGTGGTGCATACCTGTGACCTCAGCACATAGGAGATGAAGACAGGTCAGAGTTACATGGTCATTCTGAACAACTTAGCAGTTTAAGGCCAGTCTGGGCAACATTAGACCCTGCCTCAAAACAACAACAACAAAAGCTTGTTTTGGAAATGAGTTCTAGACATAACAAGGAAACAGACAGTATAGAGTAACTTCAAGATATTCCATCTGTTGGAAGGAATAGGATGTTATAGTTACAGGCAAGAACCAGAAAAATGTAACTCACTGTGCCAGATATTTTTCTGTCAACCTGACACAAGCTAAAGGCCTCAGATTGGAGGGATCCTTACTTAAGTGCCTCCATAAGATCTGGCTGCAGGTAAGTCTGTAGAGCATTTTCTTCATTAGTGACTGATGTGGGGGGACCATGCAACTGTGAGTGGTACCATCCCTGGGCCGGTGGCCCTGGTTTGTGTAGGAAAGCAGGCTGAGCAAGCCATGGGGAGCAAGCCAGTCAGCAGCACCCTCCATGGCCTCTGCATCAGCTCCTGCCTCCAGGTTTCTGCCCTGCTTGAGTTCCTGTCCTGACTTGCTTCAGTGATGGATTAAGATGTGGAAGAAGAAGCCAAATAAACCCTTTCCTCCCCAGCTTGCTATGGTCATGGTGCTTGATCACAGCAATGGTGATCCTAGGATGTTGAGGTTTTGTTTTGTGTTGTGTTGTTTGTCCTGTCTTGTCCTTGTAGTATCATCCTGCCCATGGTTCTCTTCTCAGGGGTACCCTAATGCACTCACCACCATCAGCCATGATTGAACTCCTGCCTTCCACCAACACATCTGTCTGCAGCACACTGTATTTTTATGGTGTCACTGTTTTTCTGGCCATCTTTTTCTTCAGCCTCCTCCTCCTCATGGTATGGTTCCACCTGTCTGTTATGGCAGAAAGGAAGGACTGGGAGAGAGAGGTAGTATTCCAAGACTGGAGCAATGCAAGAGGCATTTCCTGTGGTCCCAGCATCAGGAAGTGGCCATGGCTGAGGATGTAGCTCAGTTGGTAGAATGCTTCCCTAGAATGCATGAGAGCATGTGCAGCTGAAACAGGATCATCCTCAGCTACATAGAACCAGTCTGGGCTGTACATGAAATCTTTTCTCCCAGAACTTAGGAGGCAGAGGCAGGCAGATCTCTGTAAATTCAAGGCCAGCCTGGTCTGTAGAGCTAGTTCCAGACAGCCAGAACTGTTACACAGAGAACCCCATCTTGGAAAAAAAAAGAGAGAGAGTCTAGGAGATGTTGATGACAGTGTAAATTACTGCCTCTGTTTTTTTGGACTTCCCAAAATCAAATGATGATCAGGGAAAGAAAAAAAAAACTTTTACTAGTTAGGTGACATTCATGTTCACTCTAAAATTAATGTGCTTCTTTGATTCCCATGAGGACCCAGAGTAGAAGAAGATCATATGACACAGATGTATCCTTTATATAAGTGATACTCTGTGACATAGGACCTGTGCTTTGATTTAATTACTTAGATAATAAAAGCACATTTTTTTTCTTCCCCAGAGACTATTTCTTTAGCTTGGCTGTCCTGGAACTCACTCTGCAGAGCAGGCTGGCCTTGAACTCACAGAGAGCCCCTTTCCATTGCCTCCAAGTGCTGGGATTAAAGGAGTGTGCCACCAGTGGTTGGTTGAGAAGAGATTTTCGAAACCTCTTTTACTTGCAGTTGAGAATTTAATCTCAGCCTTTGTACTGATGAACTTCAGGGTATTTAGCATAAAGCATGGTCTTGAAGAATCTCTAATAAGATACTTTAAGAGATGGGCTAGTTAGAACTTTAACATTCTGAGTGGCAATGTCATTAGCACGATACTTGCCCATCATGTTACAAGTCTGTGGGTTTGATTCCTGCCTCCACAAATAAACAACATGCCTTCCCATATGTATTATGATTTGTTTGAGGTTGGGAAAGCTGGGGGTTGGTGATACTCACACACTGAACATAATAACTCTGTTTGGTTAATATCTGTTTGTCTACATGAAAATTCCCACTGGGTAATTCTCTAAAGTCTGCTCTCATGGTAAAGGAGGAGAGTAGTTTTTCCTGACATGAGCTCCTTGTAGAGTGAGCCTTCTAAAGTGCTGAAATTTTGACTAAGCCATAGGCTGACTACTCACAATTACACTCATGTTTAGGTCTTACTCCTCCATGCCCAGACTTTGTATAAGAAGTTTGTGAAATCGACAGGCTTTCTGGAGAGTGAGCAGTGGGCAGTGATTTACATTGTGTGTCAGCGAGTTCGCTTCTTCCCGGTGGCCTTTGTATGCTGCTGGGGCCCAGGTTGGTATCTTAATAAAAAAAAAAAAAAAAAAACCAAGAGGTGAAGAAGGTAACTGTGGGGTTTGTCGAACATAATGATCCACCCATATCATGACTGCATATTCCTGTCCAGCTTGTAAATTTTATTTACTTACTGCTTTAATTTTTGAGACAGAGGCTTATTATGTAGAACCCCCCCATCTTCTGGCCTTTAAAAAAAAAAACAAAACAACAACAACAACAACAGAGGTCCACCTACAGCCTCTGCCTCAAGTTGCTGGGATTAAAGTCATGTACCATTCTTCCTGGCATTAATCTACAACTTTAATCAAAGCCAAAAGCTCAAGCGTTTACATAACTAATTAATCTCAGTACTGATTTTCATTTACATGTAGCTTCTGTTCATGGAATGCTCAGGCATGTGCACTTAGAGCTAACAGCAGGTCACACATTGTGTATTTGCAGCTGTCACACTGATGATCATAAAACTGGTCAAGCCACAGGAAACCTCACTGCATATGGCCTTCTCTGTGCTCCAGGTAAGACCTTCCAAAGCCAGGGTCTTTTCTTGTGCCATTTAGAGGACACACAGTGTTTTTCCTTCAGTATATTCATTTGTGAATTACAAAAAAGGACATCTAATGTCTGTGCTCACTTGGAAAGAATTAACCACTTTCCCAAAGGCAAGCTAGTCTAAGTGTTTCTGGGTCTAGTTTGGAGCACAGGTATTTTTGGGCAACTTAGTTTGGATATGCTGAAGATATGAGCGGTAGAATAAGATCTCACAGGTGTGAGCCAGTGGTGGTGGTGATGCTCTCCCATTCAGAGTGAATCAAATGGACCAAATTAACTGTTCATGGTGAGTGCTGAGCAGTAAAGGAGTGCTTTCCTCTTTCCTGCATTGTCAGAAGGAAGCTTCTTAGAATAGTTTCTATGGGAAGGGGTCAGCAGGTGAGGCTGTTTTATTGTCCTCATCTGTATACTAAACAGTGTAGCTAACTTTCAGCTGTCCACAGCAAGCTATAATGTGAAGGGTGTAGATGGCCTTCTACATAGTTCAGTAGCTCAAATGGCAACACAGCACATAGGGTTGGGACTTTATGGCTACAGCTTGGGCTCCATCAGTTTCCATCTCCTGCAGGCTCTCACAGCAGCATCCCAGGGTCTGCTCAACTGTGGCGTATATGGCTGGACACAGTGCAAGTTCCAGCAGCTAAAACGTGAGCCTCGCTGTGATGCAGACACCCAGACCCCATTGCTGTGTTCACAGAAGAGAATCTATAGCGGGAGCCCAGGCCTAGGCCCATCAGGGTCTTCTCTTGCCTTTGCTGCCAGCTCTTCCACCATTCTTTGAAACTGTGGAACTGGAACATTCAGGAAGGAAATGTTTCATGTGAGTGGACTCTGCAGGTCTGCAGGGAGCCACCCCCATTTCTTCTGGCCATACCCAAGACTAAAGAACTGAAAGGGAATACAGGGTTGTGGCCAGGAGCGATTCTGGGTGAATTAGGAAGGATCTCTCTAGTTGCTCATTCAGAGAAAGATAGCCGCTTTCCATCTAAGAGACTCATTACTTTTTCAAATACTAGATTTATTTACATCTCTTCAAGAAAAAATAAATTTCAGGTTCATATATATGTGTGTCATTTGCAAACTCTGCTCTGTGAAAGCAAGGTGTGCAGTTGGGGCTGCTATTGTGAGGTTGCATGGAGGCCTAAGAATGCTCACACAGCCAAATGCTCTGCCATTTACCTCATTCTTAGTGTTTTGGTGTTTTTCAAGTTGTTTAATATAGCAGTTGTTATATAGATGTTTTTGGGAAAACTTTATTTATAAATATAAGTAGATTTGGTGGCTATATACATCTGAAGTATTTATGGTTGACTATTTGAGCGGTGGTGGCAGAATCATATGTCCTATACATGGGGAGAGGGATTGGTCACAGTTGCTATGGAAACCTTAGAGGCTCCAAAATTAGAGCCAAGGCTCCCAGGACAGTAGCTGTAGCCATCACAGTTTAGCCAGCCCCAGGTTCTTAATGTTACCAACTTCATTGTTCCTTGAGCCTTACCTGGCCCAAGGCAGCTCTCTGCTTTCTCCACAATATCAACTGTCAGGACAGGGTTTAGACTATTTCCTAGGGTTCCTATTGCTGACATACTGACAGTGTTTATGGGCAGCAGTGAAACCTCAAGTTCTTCAGGGTTTAGATCAGAAGAAATGGACTTATGTAGTGAACAGAAGTGACCTAAAGTGAGCATCCTGAGCACATCCATCTGCCATTGCCTTGCAGGCCAAGAATTCTGCCATAGGGAGTTGGGGGTATATGCCAGCAGACAGCATGGAACAGAGCCCAAAAGAAAGCCCTGTGCTTTGACTTGTGAGTTGTGTCTGCACCCAGTCTGTAGTAGCTAAAGCCAAAACAGAAGGCATGTCTATGTACAAGAACATAGTTTAAATAACTACAGATAAACTAATATGCCATGGAACATTAGTAAAAAGGAATAGTGTACGAAAAAAAAATCATTGAGATGTAAGATTTAGTGAATTGCCCACTTTAGAAAAAAATAGGCTTATTTATAAAAGATGGTCCTCAAATACATACATATATACACACACAGACACACAGACACACAGACACACACACACACACACACACACACACACACACACACACATATATATATATATGAGAACATGGAAAGGATTTGGAAAATGTGGAAATAGGTTCACAGAGATTTCCAGAACAAGGGTTCAGAGAACTATAGCCAATATAGAAGGGAAGACATGGTGAGCAAAAGAAATGAAGATATCATTGTGTTAAAGGGAGGAGCATCTAGAATCTGAGAAACACAGAGGGTGAGACCTAGTATTGTTAAAGTGTGTGCATTTCAGTGCAGGCTTCGTAAGGCGTGCTCATCATTAATAGTTGAACACTTCCCAGGCCATGTGGCTCCAGAAGGGGTTTCCTTCCAGCATTCTTTTTTTTAACGGTTTTGCAAGACAGAGTTTATCTGTGTAACAGTCCTGGCTGTCCTGGAACTCATTCTGTAGGTCAGGATGTCCTTGAACTCACTGAGATCCGCCTGACTCTGCCTTCCAAGTGCTAGAATTAAAGGTGTGTGCCACCACCACCCTGAACCTTCCAGCATTCTTTTTTTTTTAAATAATTTATTTAACTTTATGTGTATTGGTATGAAGGTGTCAGATCCCCTGGAACTGGAGGTACGGACAGTTGTGAGCTGCTATGTGGGTGCTGGGAATTGAACCCAGGTCCTCTGGAAGAGCAGCCAGTGCTCTTAACCATTGAGCCATCTTTCTAGATTCCCCTTCCAGCATTCTTAAAACCCATTCTTTTCCCCTGGATTGTATCCCAACTTTTGTGACATTAAAATCCTTTCTTGCTCTTCCTTCCTTCTTTCCTTCTTTCTTCTCTCTCTTTTTTTCAAGATAGGGTTTCTCTGTGTAACCCTGCCTGTCCTTGAACTCATAGAGATCTGCCTGCCTCTGCCTCCATAGTGCTAGGACTAAAGGAGTGAGCCACCACCACCTGCCTTAAAATCCTTTCTTTATGATTGTAAACATAACAATCTCAGGTACGAATCTTACCTCATCCACATTAAAAATAGTTCAGTTATAATGTCAGTCAAGTGTGTAAATTCTGTCTTCACCATTCTGGGGAAGGAAGTGAAGTGTTTGAGATTTGCCTTCATATGAAGTGAAATCACATACACAAAAAGATTTTTCTCATATGTGAAGACAATTTTGCCTTTAGCTCTGATTAAACAAATGAGTAGGCTTTTGAAATGCCTTATAATTATAGTTCTTATTCCATTATGTCCATAAGCTTCAAAGACTCAGAATCTACCGCATAGGCAGGATCAAAGCCAGTATTGGAGTGCTTCCTCTGGAGAAGTAGTGACAACTTCTAGAATAACACTGGATAGTGCAGGGCATATACTTAAAGAATGGGGGGTGGGCAGTGGAAGACTCTTCTCCACACACTGGGAAAGCCCAATTAAGAAGACATGGGAAAATTTGAAGCTGGTCACAAAGCAGGGTGAAAACTTAGTTTAACTTCTTTTTTATTAATGGGAAAGAGCTATTTTCTTCACCCTTTGAAAAACTACTTGTCTGAGCTGTTCCCCATTCAACCACAATGACCAAACTCTGTTTCAGAAGAAATCTGGAGAAACAATAAGCCATTTTCCTTTTCAAGTAAAGGTAACGCTTTGATCTGCATGTGATAGGTTATACCTCTAATCTCAGGACTTCAGAGGCTGAGGCAGAAAGATTACCATGAGGTTGAAGCCAGTCCCTGGCACACAAATGTGAGACACTATGTCAAAAACAAAGTAACCCTTTGTTTTCATCAAGTACAGAACTGTGTCAATTTGGGGTTATCTTGTTTTAGTTTTCTTCAGTTGAGCTCCAGACAAGGGAGTTCAGTTTGACTCAGTGGGATGACAAAAGGTGAGCTGTCAAGCCTTGGAGAGACCCATGTGCTTCTGGTCCCCCACGGACAAGCATGGCCCTTGGACTTCAGAGCAGCAGTATCTGCAGCATATTCCACACTGTAACTTCCCTTTGTTTCTCCCAAGTCTGAAGACAAATCTATAATCTGGAAATGGCTTTAGGAAACTAAGGAAAGTGTTGGGTTCTTGATTAGCCTGAGGCAGCCCAGAGAAGGCAGGGAGAAGGTAGCAAGACATTACCAGACTCTTGGGGAGTGTGGTCCTATGGGGTACCAACATGTGGATTACTGGATATCTTCCTCACAATGGCACAAGCATGTGGGCAAGATGATTCATGAGAAAGGCCATACTTTCTAGAAACAGAGCACAAAATGACTCTTGGTTAGCTTCACTTTCTTTTTAGACCAAGTCTTGCTAGGTAACCGAGGCTAGCCTTAAACTTGCAGTCTCCTTGTCTCAGCTTTATGAAAGCTGGTAGTATGGCAAGCACCACCATCAAGACTGGCTTAGTTCTGGCTGTTTCTTCCTCTTCCTCTTTAATATGTGATTGTTTGTATAGTGTTCATGTATGTACAGATAGGGGAGATGCTTGTACATGTGCATACAGTGTGGGAGAGGTGTTCAGCAGCCTCTCTATCATTCTTGGCCTATTCCCTTTGAAGCAGGGTCTTCCCCTAAACCTAGAGCTTGCATTCTCTGGGCTAGAAGCCATCAAGCCCCAGTGATCCTCCTGTTTGTTGCCACTTTGGGTTATGGGCCTGTACAAGATATCTGTCTTATCTTGTGTCAAGTAAGTGCAGGAGTCTGAACTCCAGGTCTCATGACTGTACAGCAAGCACTCTTTGCCTTGGAACTGTGCTGATGTCTGTAATGCTGGCTTATTAACTCAAGATCCAACATTAGGGCCTTCTTCCTTATGAGGAAGGCCTGTCCCACACAGCTACATAACAGAACAGACTCAATAAATATATTACATGGGACCTGAAGACATGTCTAACATTAGTAGTTTTATTTAAAGACTCATCCCTTTATATTTTTGGGCAAGTTAGAACATTGAAGCTCGTGGAAATTGCCCTTACATAATAGGTAGTTGTTACTTGGAACAAAAATCCTGGGGATAGTGATTTAGGAGCATCAGACAATCTATGTGGTAGAAAGCAGGTCCTAAAATACAGTTTCTGGTGACCAAAAGAATTAGCCCAAAGATAGAAGAATACAAATGTCCAAAGATACATGTGACAAGTTCAAATGTGAAAACTAAAGTACTGAAATACTGACTATGTAAACAGCCATCAACTAAATGCTAAGGACAGAGCCTCTTCCCTCCCTCACAAGTGTGTCTTTAGGCCCTGGAGTCCCAGTAAGAGCAACACAACTGTCAGTTCACACAGCCTTTGCTTTCCTGAGCCTCACTCTCAGGGCTGCAAGAGGCTCAGCTATTGACTTTATGTTCCCCCTACTTATTCATCTCCCGCTTCTTCTTCCTCTTCTTCTTCCTCTTCTTCTTCCCCTTCTGCTTCTTCCTCCTTTTCCTCCTCCTCCTCCTTTTCCTCCTCCTCTTCTTCCTCCTCCTCCTTCTCTGCCTCTTCTGGTGGGGCTTCCTCCTCAGCCTTTAACTCTGAAGGCCCTACTTCAGAAGGAGTCTCTGTCTTACTGTAGGTAACCACGATGCATACGATTATAAGGAGTATTGTGAGTATCAAAATGGCAGCAAGAACTATCAGTTTTAAGTTAAGTGCCAAGTCATCTTTACTTATCTCCTGAATTTCTTCACTCTGATCTGTAGGCTTTTCCTCTGATTGTCCGGGAGGACCACTGTCCACACTGCCTCCACTTCCCTGTCTCATGCAGTCAGGGGGAGCAAATCCAAATGAACAATGGCAGTTCCCTAAGTCATTGCAAACCCCATGTCCATTACAAGATTTACTGCAGGGAGTGTCGGGGGAGTGTGCAGGTAAAACTTCTTCACAAAGGAAATTCTTACAAGCTTTATTTTGGCCACAGGAAGTGTTGTTCTTCACATACCCTTTATAAGGGAACTTTGTACTGCTATCAGAAGAACCTATACTCCAGCACCAATCCTCTTTATGAGGGACCTGGATCAGTATGTCTTTTTGTTTGATTGGTGGTAAGAAGCCTAAATCTGAACATATAAGTTTCCCACATAGCACATTTTTATCTGAACATTTGACATATGTTCCTGGAGTGGTAGAAGAAAGGCCACAGTTTCCAAACTGGTCCCCTTTACTATTGAGAGAGCTGTAGCATGAATCTGAGGCAGACTGTGCAGAGTATCCAAAAACACGTGCACATTGAGAGTTAGGGTCCAAACACTGACCCTCAAAACAAAAGTAAGTTTCATGGCATACAGAGCCATCTTGTATTCTCCTGTCCTCAGGACATATTGCAGAGGTCCCATTACAGTATTCTTCCAGGTCACAAATTCCATTAGTAGGACGACAAATCTGTCCCAACTTCTTAAATTTACATCGAGAACAGCAAGGTTCATTACTACACTCTGCACCCTCCTTAAGTTTACATTTGTCATTACAACACTTGTTATTGGCACAGTCATTGCCACAGTCACACTCCTCCCAATCCTCCACCACACCGTTTCCACATTTGGTAGCTCTGCGACTACGGCTTTGGTGCCAAGGCCTGTCAAGCAGGCAGGCCCCTCTGTGGTCATGGAGGAAACGGTAGAAGTCATCAGAGCTGCAGTTGCTGAAGCTGCCGCCCTTGGTGATATTCTCGTGCATGAGGCAGAAGTGCTTATGGTCACAGACGCAGGCCGGGTGGTCGTGCCTGATACCCAGGTTGTGCCCCAGCTCATGGGCCATCAGCGCCGCAAACAGCAGGACATCTTCATGGTGGAAGGCCTCCACAGCTGCTGCAAACCCGTCTGAACAGGCACCGTCGAGAAACGCCTGGCCCTCGTTCTCTCCTGGGTGATGCCCGACGATCAAGTGTGCAACATCGTGCCTGAGCCGGTCCACGAGCTTCTCCTGTCTCCAGCGGTTGAAGTTCCTCAGGGTAGCCTGCAGGTCCACCGGGGTCTCTATCAGGTCCCCCTCTGTCCAGATCTCCATGCCCACCAGCACCACCTCTGTGTTTAATCCCCTGGTGAAGCTGTTGGCCAGAGCAATGATGTCCACTACCGCCCGGACCGTCTGGTTGACGCTGCTGCCCCACATCTGAAAACGCTGGTGGTTGACCACGATAAACATCTCCACGTACTTGGTGTGTGACCTCAAGTCAGACAGCTTCCACGGGTCATCGGGCTCCCTGTTCCTTTGTTCCTGGCTGGTGTCCCCTGAGCTGCCTTTGGGAGTGACGCTGCAGGAGGCGTGAGGCTGTTGTGCCACAGTGTACAGAATGTGTTCAAACCCTTTGGAAGAGAGCAGAGGCTCGATGCTGTAGGATGTTTCCTCCTTAATCAGGATGCCCCTGAGGCCGGAACAGATGTTGACAGATACAAAAGAGCCTGGCACCCCTTCCATGTAGCCTTCATAGTGACAGTCCCGTGAGAGGAGAGGCATTTCTTGCCCCAGGATGCCCCTGTGGTAACTGTAGACTGGGAAGTTCTTCACAGAGTAGTCTCCCTTTACCTTTAGGAGAAGCCGCTGCTGCTGGCCCTGCATCAACAGCATGTAGGACACCGTCCCTCCGGGGTCTTCGCTCCTCTCCACAGGCAGTCTCTTGGGGATGACCGTTTCATAGGACGAGTAATATATAGATCCTATGTCACAGAATGTACTTGGGAGAAAAACTACCATCAAGAGCAACATGGCGACCAGCCTCACACACAAATGTTCTGGCGTTTGCCCCAGCCTTAATCTCTCCATCTGGGGAGCCCAAGTCTGAAGTGCTCCCCCACCTTTATACAAAGCCACATAGGGTCTACTTGGAGGAGGAGGAAAGTGTGTCACTGTAGCCATGTCTTCCATGGCCCTCCTGAATCAGTTGATGCTATGGCCTGTGTGTTAAGTGGTGGCAATGACAGCCACTCTCCCTGATATTGAGCCCCAGGTATTATCCCCCCATCTATGCTGGGTAGTTAAGTGGTGGTTACTTCCCACCACTGTGAGCTTAGCTTGCTGACTGGGTCTTATCCTGGTGTCGCTGGCCTCTGTGTCCTTTCAAACAGCTTCCATTGTTGGTGGCTTCTTTCAGAGTTGGCTGCAGTACTCCATCGCTCAGTTCCTTTGACAAGATGAAGAGATGTGCTGTAACAGACTGTGAAATCTATAATGTGAGACTACCTTGAGAGAGGGCATAACATCCCCACGGCTCACTCAGCAGAGCCACACGGAACACCCCTCCCCCACGGCTCTCCCACCCTTCTTGTTGTCCGTTGCTCAGCTAACCTCAGAGGTTCCAGATCAGGGATCCTGGAGATAGCTTAAGTGCACACACTCTAGTATCTGTTCCCTCACCTCTAAAGCCCTTGCTCCATAGACAGCAGCATCCTAACCCTCTCTGAGAGGGGAGACCCAGCTGTTAGATCAGGCCAGTGAACTGACTCCCTTAGATGTGTATCATAGCACAGATGGGTTAGGGTTGCAGCCCGTGGGGAAGACAATAGTCACTCTTCCTATTTCTCCATTTGGCTTCTCAGAGTCTGTGGACAATGGCATGGTACCCTTCCTATACATGAGTTAATGTCCACAGTGGCTGGCATCTCTAAGGCCTCACCCTCTTGATAGTCACCCTGACACACTGATTCCTCCAGGGTTATGTATGAATTGTGTGTATTTCTTTATGTGGCAGTGCTTTGCTGTGTAGCCCAGGCTTCCTCCTGGTCCTGACATTTGGTGGGATTACATGTGTGAGCTTTCTTCTAGCCTCTGTGCACAAGGGCCACATGATCTCACAGAGGTGTGCACACAAACACAAAGTAAGTTTTCACAAGAAGTAGTTGTGCTTCCTATGGGATGCATTGCATTAATTCTGAATGTGTAAACAATGTACAAACATTAAATAATTCCAGCTCTTCAACTATTACCCCTACATGTTGGGGGATCTCATGCTTTTCAACTGACTTTGAAAAATGTTACATTGTTTTAACAGATAGTTTACCCACTGTACTGCCAAAAACCTAGAAGTGATTCTCTGTGAACTGTTTCCTCTCCCATCCCCTCACCCAGTCTCTGGTGGCCACCACCCACTCTGCTCTTTACCAAGATCAACCTCAACCTTTCTAGTTTCTTCCGAGGATTAGACACTTGGTATTTCTCTTATTGTCTGACTAACTTCACTTGTGACCTCCAGTTTCCTCCATGTTGTAGCAAATAAGTAGGTTGGCTGTTTGATCTGAGCTGTTGTGAACACTGCTGCAGTAGTCATGGAAGAGCAGGTATGTCTCTGGTACAATTAATTACTCATCTTTAGAATGTAACCAATTGTGGAGTTGCTAGATCATATGGATCCTATAGTCTCTGTGTTTTGTGAGGAGACTCCGTAGGTTTTTCTGTAATGGTGATGCTGGTCACATCCTCCTCAACAACGTGTATGAATTCCCTTCACATTGAGTCATTGGCTTTGGTCTCCTGACTCGATTTCTAGTGCCTCAATAACCACTGTGATTTGGCATTATTTCATATATTTGTTGGCTGTTTCAGGTTTTTTTTTGTGGGGGGGTGAAAGAATGTTTGTCTTTTGAGACATCTCATGATGAGAAGCACAGGTTAGCCTGGAAATAACTATGTAGCTCAGATGTCTTCCAATTAGAAACCCCCAATGGCAGATTTAAGGAAGTCCATGAACACCCAAATAAAGAATAACATATTTATTTGAGGAACACTCATACAATGAAGATAAATAACCACCCCTAGAAAGACAGGATCTGTGATGCAGGATGCTCAAACCACAACCCTGCTTCAGCACATGCCTTTAGTCCTGTCATTCAGGAAGCAGAAGCAGACAGATCCCTGTAAGTTCCAGGCCAGCCTGGTCTACAGAGTGAGTTCAAGGATTGCCAGAGCTACACAGAGAAACCCTGTCTTGAAAAGAAAAAGAAAAAGGTAGAAATCCCCTTAGCCTCCTACTTGTGCCCCAAAAGGTGGAGCTTCAAGCACTACAGTCTCTGGCCCATTTCCATGTGTCCTAGCTCCTTTTTTAGTTCTCCAGGCCCTTCATACTGGAAATCAAATCTTTGCTTTGTGTGTGCTGCCTCAGAGCTGCACACATAACTGTGTGTCTTCTCAGGAGAAGTGTCTATTGAATTCCTTAGCCCATTTTAAAATTTGGATTAACTTGGTTTTTAGTGTTCAGCTTTGTGTGATCATCGTATGTTTTCAAATTTTAAGGCCTTATCAGATGAACGGTTTAAAAGTCTTTTCAGGCTCCACAGGCAGTTTTGCCTCTGTATTTGGATTGACACTTTACTCTATTTTTACTTCCCTGAGCAAGAATTCTTTGGAAAGAAATCTTTGTCTAGAGCCGTGCTTTTCAGCCTTCCTAATGCTGAGACTCTTTAATACAGTTTTCATGTTGTGATGACCGCTCTCAGCCATAAAATTATTTTTTTTGCTACTTCATAACTGTAATTTTGCTACTGTTATCGATCATAATACAAATATATCTTGATATTCAGGATATCTAATATGCAGCCTCTATGAAAGGGTCATTTGACCTCCAAAGGGGTCATGACCCACAGGTTGGGAACTGTTGGTCTGCATCAATGCCTTGGGGTGTTTTGTCTCCTGCTGTCTGACAGCTCATGTTTCAGGTTTTACATTTCAGCTTGCCTCTCCTTCTTTCCCTCTCTCCTCCTCTTTCTTTTTGCTTCTTTATAGGAACTCCTATGTTCCAGACTAGCCTGGAACGCGCTATCAATTTGTCATGTCTATACCTCTGTCTTCCAAGTGTTAGGGTCATGGGTGTGCACAGCACAGCCAATTTATTCAGTGCCAGGGATCTAACCCTGGGCTTTCATACATGCTATGCAAGTACTGTACCAATTGAGGCACACGCACCTCAGGCCTCTTGTAGCCTTTTGACTCATTGTGAGTTGATACCTCCTGTGAGTTGTGTCTAGGGTATAACCCAGCTCTGTCCTTTCACGTTCAGTTTTGCCAGCAGGGTTAATTGATGGGGCTCTTGCACATTTGTCAGATGTCATGCATGCTGATGGCCTGAGAGCAGCATTTTAGCCTTGTGTATGGTTCTCTGTCCATTTAATTTGTCTGTGTATCTATTTTATGCTGCTTCCTTGCTCTTTTTTTTTTTTTTTTTTTTTTTTTTTGAGACAAGATCTCATGTATATCAGGCTGGCTTAGAACTTGCTATATATCTGAGGGTGACTTTGAGCTCCTGATTCTCTTTTCTTCACAACCTGAGAGCTGGAATTAGACATACATCACCCCACCCAGTTTTCTTTGTTAGCTCTTCAATTAATTCTTTGACCATTTCCTATATGAATGTACTGTTCTGCCCACACCCTTCCCCCGTCATGTCCCCCACATTACGTTCATGTCTTTTGTTTTGTTTTTGCTTTTGCTCTGACCCAGACCCACTAGGTTTAACCAGGGCCTATCATGTGGGCATGGATGAAATGCTGTCCTCCAGAGCATATGTAACTAACTCATCTACATCACTGAAGACAATGACTTCCTCTCCTCCCACAGCCAGGAGTTCCCCTGGGTGGGGTGGGCCACATAAGCACCCCCCCATGTGTAACTGAATGCTAACTAGCTCAGACTTGGTCACACTCTGTCTGGGTAACTGCAGTGTGAGCTCATGGGTGCTTCAGCTTTGCCACGCCCTCCTCTACCATTTGGTCTCTTGCATTCTTTCTGTCCCTTCTTCTGTGATATGCCAGGATCCTTGGAGGAAGTGACATCAGTGTTCCGTTTAATGCTCAGCACCTTAACAGTATGTCTCTCATTAACCATCACTTGCTGCAAAGAGAATCTGCTCTGATCAAGGCTGAGGACCCCATTAATCTATGAATGTAAACAAATTTCTCAGGCATATCCACTTAACAAAAGTAGTAGGTTTCCTTAGGTCCTGTGTCTTCCCCACCCAAAGACTTGGCACTGGGTCCACAGACCTGCATGGTCTTACTCCTACAGGGCGTGCATCAATTCTAGTCCTAAATCAGCTGGTTGCCCCCACACAGCAGTGCCTCTGTTGGACCAGTGAGCTTGTCTAGTTGTTACAGTCGCATGTAAGGTCTGAAGCTGGGGAAGACCACTGCTGACTTCTTCTCATTTTAGTTGTTATGACAAAGTACCATGATTAAGGCAATTTGCAGAAGGAAAGGTTTGTTTGGGGATTATAGTACCAGAGGAGAAAAAAGTCCATCACCATGACAGTGGGAAAATTTTGCAGCAAATACCCAGCATGGCAGCATAAAAAGCTGAGGACTCACATCTCAAACCACAAGCAGGAAAAAGAGAGAGCAAAATAGACATGGCAAGAGTCTTTTAAAACATCGAAGTCGCCCTTCCTTTTCCTCTTCCAGGGATGGTGCTTACAGGTGCTCAAAATGGTCCAGCATTTGACATACTGATGTAGGCTTTCCTACAATACAGCCTCTAACAAAACTGGGCTGTCTCGAACCCCTGGCAACAGGATTGTTTACCTTTATACCAAGAAGGTTGGGAAAGCACCTAAATCTGCATGTGGTGTGTGCCTGGGCAGACTTCGAGGGGTTCTTGCTATCAGACCGAAAGTCCTCATGAGACTAAGACAAAGAAGCACGTCAGCAGGGCCTGCGGTGGTTCCATGTGCACCAAGTGTACCCGTGGCAGGGTTAGGCGGGCTCTCCTTATTGAGGAGCAGAAAATTGTAGTGAAAGTGTTGAAGGCACAAGCACAGAGTCAGAAAGCAAAATAAATATGCAGCTTAAAAAAAAAAGACATCGAAGCCAAGCAGGTGGTGGCGGTGGCGGTGGCTGTGGCGCAC